GATGAGGAAAGATTAAAGAGGGAGGAGTGGACAAGTGAGGGGCAATACAAACAGTTTGAGGGATTAAAGAGGGGACAGGTAACCACTACCCCTTCATCAATTAGTCTGAGCCATGAATCTGTTTAGTGACTGAAAACTATAAACTAGCTTCTGTGTCCCAAACAGTTTCTACATGTTCAACAAAGTGTCAACAAGCATGAAACAATCTCTGTGTGACATGTCGGAGCAGAACTCCTTCTTCTTCTTCTTTTGGCTTTTCCCTCTTCAGGGGTTGCCACAGCGAGTCATCCTCCTCCATCTCGTTCTGCAACATCTAAAAAAGGTTCCTGATAGACCATCATGATGAGATGGTCCTTCAAAAACTTCAAAAGTTCAACTATCAAAAAGCTCTTACAGGTTCAGTTCAGGCAACAGGGTGGTACTGTTGGTAAAGCTGCCGCCTCTCAGTGAGAAGGTAGCCGCATCAAATACTGGACGGGGGTTCATTCTGGGTGGAGTTTGCATATTCTCTTCATACATGCATGGGTTTTCTCTGTGTACTCCGGTTTCCTCCCACAGACCAAGAACATGCATGTTAGATTGATTGGTGACTCTAAATTGTCCCTAGGTGAGAGTGAGAGAATTAATGGTTGTTTGTCTCATTTGTCTCTATGTGGCCCTGTGATGGACTGGAGACCTGTCCAGGGTGTCTCCCACCTCCCGCGCAGTGACTGCTGGATATGAGCACCAGTAACCCCCGTGATCCAAAAAGAAGAAGCGTGTGATAATGGATGGATAAATGGATGGATGGTTCAGTTCATATTTTTTAAAATGAGGCTTATGTGAGTTTCAGAAATAAATGGTAAACGGACTGCACTTATATAGCACCTTTTTATCTTATCAAGATACTCAAAGTGCTTTACACTACAATCTGTGTCCTCATTTACCCATTCATACAGCACTCTACTAGATCTATACAAAGCTAACTGAACAAATCCTAAAGAGACTTATCAGTTCTTTTAGATCACAGTCATACACCGATGGGACACACATCAGAAGCAATGAAGGGTTCAGTGTCTTGCCCAGGGACACTTTGAAATGTGACTGCTGGAGTGCTGGTGGATTTGAACCCCCAACTCTTGCATTGGAGGACGACTGCTCTAACCACTCAGCCACAGCTGCCCTAAATACAGGTGTTCCACAGGGTTTGATAACAAGACCACTTCTTTTTGTTTTCTGTCTGATAGTATATTCAGTGCCAAATGAACAATATGCAGATGATGCTTCCATCCAAATGACTCCAAAATCTCCACTTTGCAAAATGTGCTAAACTTAGCTTACCTTAGCATTAAAGGTTAGCGTCAAATATCCCATGAACCACTGTATGGACTCTCAAAAGCAATCATTAGCTCTGCAAGTGATTAATTTTAGTCAAACTTACAGAGATAGCCACAACAGCAACTTAAAATGGTTGTAACTAAGTCGGCGTTACAAAAACTCAAAGTTCAGTGTGGTAGTAGCTGGAAGTGAACCTCAGCATGAAATATGAGAACAATATCACAAGACATCATGGATAATAGGCCTTTTATTTAAATGTTTATGTACATTCTTGATTTTCTTTTGCCTGTGTATATTTTGTATGTTTGTATGGATCCTATATGCAAATTAGTGCTTGCTGCCTAGTAGGCAAATGTGCAAAACCACAGTTGCATTGATTTACAACATTGCTTTTTATAGTACTGTCCCTATTCAAAACATAGATATAAAAAATAAATTTGGCAGACACCCGCTTCACTCAGTTTGCCTCCAGGACCTCTGTCCCATTTGGCTCTGGAGACATCAATCAGTCAATAAGTGTAACAGCCTCTCATAATGAGCTCAAATTGAATTAGTCATATTACAGTGAGACAACTATCTCTTGTGTCGCTTCAAGGACTCTTTTAAGTGTCGGTAGTTGAGTTTTAGTTTAGAGCTGAGCACAATTTTACCCGTCTGGAGGAGAGCAATTAATCGAAACTGTCTTATATATAAATCACTGCTGCGTCATAAATAAATGATTACCCGGTTATTGTTTTTAATTAAATCCAGATGAATTGCAAATGCTGCGACTGGCGCTTCAAAACCGAGCGCCTCAAAAGAGACCTGTGTTCTGGGCGAGCATAAATGAAACAGACGTCCTCACACGCAGGCTTCGTTTGATTTGAAAATATTTCATGCACAAGCCTCACGATTAATGGATGCATCTGGTGGCTTGTCCATCAATGAGACGAGGCTTCCAAGCAGCAGCAATGAAGTCCTTTGCAGCTGTTGGCTCAGAGATGTGGTGGTCTGCTCAGCCCTTTTTTCTGCTCATCATGTTGAGTTTATTTTCCTGCTGCCACCAGTCATCCAGTGCTGTCAGAACTGTTTAACCATTCACTGCTTTTGTCATTCACGGACGGTGCCAATCAATATCCACACCATCTATTGTGATATGGCTGCTTCTATAAACAGCTTGCAGTGATTTGGAGCTAACACCACCCAGTCAGACTGGGAGCTTTTATTGAATATTTAAAATTTTCAACCTGAAAGCACAGTTTTTGAATTATAAACAGTATCAACCTCTTTTGCGCAAGGCTTTTGTTTCTGTCCAGAATACAAGCTTTCTTTCTTGGGGGCGTTGTATTATCTTTCTCCTCACCCGGTGATGCAAAGTTACTCAGAGGTGTCAACTTGTAAACCATGTTTTCTTTTCTCCAACCTATATTTTATACATTTGGAGGGTTCGGTTGTATTGATTGGGCCCATTTTGAAAAGATGTATGCTGTTTTTTCACAAGTTGAGCTTTACAAAAGATTATCATGACCTAGTTGTGGTTGAACAATGGGTGCTTGGCGAGTATTGTATGTATCATATGGTGGGGGTGCGCTTTATCTGCTCGCACACTCTTTTCACCTTTGATTTTCCTAATATGTAATCTTCCTTTTCATAAAAAAATAAAAAGGAGCTGCTTTGGGGCGAACAAATCAACCACGAAAATCACGATTTCTAAAAGGAATGCAACATTGCCATCACCTGTCTGTTGTATGTTATTGCACAGGACAAACCCAACTGCATCAGCTTGACATGCAAAGCTCAACTTTAGACTTTAACCTGGCTTGAACAGTAAGAAAAACAATCTTGACATTATCCCTGCTCTCATTTTCTATTTTGAGTCACGTGCAACATTTTCCTTAAAACAATATTTCAAATGTCTGAATTTATAGTGACCAAAAAGTGTGTGTGCCGACAGAAGAAACAGGTGCACACGCCTGAACAGCTGGGACATAAAAAGGCTTCTTGTGCTCATTTTCAGCATGAAAGGTTCGAGGAAGACTTGGTGAGCGCCGGCTGCAGTCGTCGTTGATTAAACGCCGAGATGGAGGTGCTGTTTCTGTCCTCGTGTGGGGATATACTGTCTGTTTACTTTGCCTGCGGCCCTCTCAGCGTGGTGCCAAACAGATGAATGAACATCTGAAATGACAGACTGACTAATAAATATGCTTTCCACCATCCTCTTTCCCACATTCTCTACGACAGGGGTTTTTTTTTTTATCTGTGCCTGAGCGCCTGTGCCTGCGTGAGTGTTTTATTTTCATGGGCCACAAAAAGATGAAGGACGTAAAGCATCCATATGTATGAACAGTGGTGTTTGAATAAAGCTTGACCTGACTTGACTCCATCAGTGGCTGACATTACCAAACTCGATGAACTGCGATTTCTTTTTTATGCTGTGCAAAACTACAAAGCCTCAGAGGCGGGCGGAGGGATCAGAGGAGGATCTAAACACATCGGTGCAGAGCCCACTCTGAGAGGGTTCAATTCCTCAGAGACAGGCAGGTGGGGCTAATGGATTTACAGATCCACAGCCAGAACCACATGACACCAGAGACGAGGGGTCGAGCATTCACCTGGCTGATTCAGGTAAGTGCTCAGTCCAGTCCGGTTCTGAAGATTGTTGAAGGCACTGTGTGTGCAAATGTCCTCAACGTCCTGGGGTGGAGGCTGGTCTTTACTTCATTACTTTTACTAATGCAAAGTCATTTGAGTCGTTATGAATACAGTGCAATGATTAAAGCACAATAATATATTTTATTCACTAACACGACTGTGGGAAAGTACAGTTAAATGCACGTGATTACAGAATTTGTCTGCACAAAAAAAATGGCTTCATTTTGTCCATGTCTCATTTCCTGGCAAAACAGAAGAAGTGACCCTGAGGCCTCATGTATCAGTGCGGTGAGTACAAA